ATGACTCAACACAAGTTAATCAGAATAGTTAGTGCCTGCTGTGAGCATAACATGTAGCAGTTGGAGTAGGGAGTAAAGGGGGATGATTCTTGCTTAAGGACCTGAACTGTGGTTGGAGAGACAGTGTTTATAGCCAACAAACAGCTGACCAAGACACAAGAAACTACCTCACTAAAAGAACAACGAGGTGGTAGAGGCCTTTAGGGAAGGGGAGGTGAGAATGGAGACACATGTGCATGAAGGTGGAAGGCTTCTGGAGGAGGTAGGGACATCATAGAACCTTGTTATGTAGGAAGTGTTCAGTAGAGGTCAGAAGGCAGAGATTTCAGGTCAGTGAATAAACAGAAGCCAAGGCAGCATCAGAAATGAGCACAGCATGTTCACAGTCTAATGAGGAGATTGCTGACCACACTGAAGGTGAATGGTGGGAAAGGAAAATGTTGAAAGCTATTCAGAGGGGTTTTAGGTTGGATGAGGAAGGAAAGGACAATTTTTTACAGGGAAATGACATGGTGTTTTCTTCATGGATAATTTGTGTGAGATTAGAGATGGGACATCTAGTTCCTGACTCAGGGCATGAAGTTGCTGAAGCCCTGGAATGGGAATCTGTAGAGTTTTTGTGAAATGCTGTATATGCAGATAACCACATATAAAATGCCAGCTCTGTGCCTTTAAATCAGAGTATTTTGTATTATAAGGGTATGCCCACAATTGGAGTGTTGGCAACAAAACTTGTCTTTGCACATGTGGCCAATTTAGAAGTGAAACATCTTATTCTAACTTTTCTTCATGTCTCATTGTTTCAGCTACTAAGTAATTGTGTGTGGTTCTGGATAAGTTATTTAACTCCTGAGTGTCTTGATTTTGTCTTCTTTAAAATGAGAGTATTCATAGTACCTATATCATAGGCTTATTATGGAAATAAATGAGTTAATACCTAATATAGCACCTATATTAGAATCTGGCACATAGAAATATGATTTATTTATATTATATATATAAAACAATATTTGTGAATATTTAATTTACCCAAGTGATGGGTCAAAGCATCCAGAACTGTGTAGCATCAAGGCCCTCAAACAAACAAAAACTTGCTAGAGTCATTACAAAGATGGGATTGTTTATAAAGATGGAAAGTCAAAAACTTCAATTTCATAAACCTATTAACAATTAGAGTTTATAAACCAGATACCCAAGTCACCATTTATGTCACTTCTCATCTAAAACACTTCTCACTAACTCCTACTGAAAGATCTAGTCTTTGCTTCATCCATCCATCCATCCATCCATTGATCCATCCATCCATCCATCCATCCTTTTTCTACCTTCTTTTTCCTGTAGCCTATATTGATATAGGCTCAAACACTCACATCTCTGCTTCTTTCCAAATATATCTCACTCTGCTCTCCAGTCTCTCTGTGCCTTCTTTGTAATTTCAAGAGTACATTCTTCTTTGTTGATGTCCTATGAAAGTAGTGGGATTTGTTTTTGTTTTTGTTTGGCCTGGGGATTGAACTCAGGAGACTGGGTGCTGTTCCTGAGCTGTTTGCTTAAAGCCAGAACTCTACTGCTGGAGTCACAGCTCCATTTCTGGATTTTGGTGGTCTATTGAAAATAAAAGTTGAAAATAAAAGTCTAAGGGACTTTCCTGCCTATGCTTGCTTTGAACCACAATTCTTAGATCTCAGCTTCCTGAGTAGCTAGGATTTTAGGTATAAGCCACTGGCACCCAGCATGTTTTGTTTTTACTAATACTTTTAAGAGTAGTTCTAGGTTTACAGAAAAAATTACACAGTAAGTAGAGTTTCCATATGTCCCTTCTCCAACAGCTTTTTTTTTGGTCGGTCATGGGGCTTGAACTCTGGGCTTGGGCACTGTCCCTGCATTCTTCAGCACAAGGTGAGCGCTCTACCACTTGAGCCACAGCACCACTTCTGGTTTTCTAGTGGTTTATTGGAAATAAGAATTTTATGGACTTTCCTGCCTGGGCTGGCTTTGAACCATGATCCTCAGATCTCAGCTTCCCGAGTAGCTAGGATTACAGGCATGAGCCACCGGAGCCTGGCTTCTCCAACAGCTTTATCTGTTATAAAACTTTGCATTACCATGGCAGATTTGCTAGTATTAATGAACTAGTATTGGTTATTAACTGAAGTCCATAGTTTACATTTATGTTTTCTTTGTGTTGAATGGGTCTTGATAAATGCATACTGTCATTACATTTGTCATTACAGTATCAAACAGTACAACACCAGTGCTCTAAAATTGCCCTGTATTCCACTTGCTTCCTCTGCCTCTCCATTAGCTTTGTGTGTGTGCACACGCATACACACACGTGTGTGTCAGTTGTAGGGTTTGAATTCAGGGCCTGGGCAGTGTCATTGAGGTTTTGTGCTCAAGACTAGTGCTCTCACACTTTGAGTCCCACTTCCAGTTTTCTAGTGGTTAATTGGAGATAAGAGACTCATAGACTTTCCTGCCCAGACTGGCTTTGAACTGTAATCCTCAGATCTCAGCCTCTTGAGTAGCTAGGATTAAAGGTGTGAGCCACCAGTACCCAGCTCTGCATTAGCTTTTAAGAATCAGTTAAAATGCCTTCTTTTTTGTAAAAACCTCCCAGGTTCCCTCAACACTTGCATAATCTCTGATGCTTGCATAATACTTTCTCCGTACTTGTTATAGCTCCTATGTTCTGCATGGTAGAGAGATGTATACACATACTCCTTAGCTAGGTTGTCTGTCTTCAAGAGAGGGTTTGCCACAGATTTGTCCTGATAACACCTAGCTCAGACAGTTGTCTTGAATAGGTGCCTTGTGAGTGCTGGCTGAGTGCAAGTGAATTGTGAACCAATATTAAGACAAGGTTTTTGTAGAAAAGGTCTCAAGGCAAGGCTGCATGTATACTTGGCATTCGAAAGTGACGGATGCTTGTGAGTTTAGTGTGCACTTCATGGAAGGCTAGTTTTTTTGACAGGAAGCATCTTGTACCGCTTTAGCTTTTTGCTAAGAATTAGCCAGCCATAGGTGAGATAGCCCAGACCAACTTTACATTACTAGTAGGCCAGCTGGCGATTTTTCCAACCTCTCTAGAAAAAAAACAAATAACAAAACCCAACAAAACGAAACAAAAAAAGTGAAAAAAGACCAAGATCTTGTTTGTTTTCATCCTTCCAGGTCAGACACCCTTCTGTGTGTGTGTGTGTGTGTGTGTGTATGTGTGTGTGTAGTGACCCCTGGAGAGCCTACTGTCTGGGCCCTGCTCACTCTTCCCAGGTGCTCTCCAACAACTGAGGATCCCCAGGGATCCCATAAACACTGATTTTCTTAATACACACTGAGCTTTTTACTTTAAAGACACTGTTCTCAAACGTTCTAAAAAAACGCTGTAGGAACAAACAGATCAGAACAAAGGCAAATAAATCGAATCCTGTGAAGTAACAAAGTAGGCGCCCTTCTCCAACAGCCAGCACAAAGCTAAATGAAAAATATCAGTCATCCACTAGATACCGTATTTTCCCCTCCAGACCGTTTGCCGTTTGCAAACCTCCCCCCACCCCATTTAGGAGAAGCTAAGGCATGAAATAAACCACTCAGCTCCAGGACCCGAGTCAACAGCAAGGTCCCTTGCTCTAAGTGACACTAGCGGTTTGAAAGACTTAAGTCTTTTACTCCCTGGTACCTGCCTGAAAGGTGGTGATGAGAGCGGGAGGTGCCAGCCCAGCCGCCCCCTCGCTGCCCCAGGGTCTCCCGTCGGTGCCAGACTCCGAGTTGGGCGGGGAGGGGGGCGCTCCGGAAGCTGGGTTGGAGCCCAGGGTAGTTACCTGGGACAGTGAGTGTTCTGCGGAGAGCAGGGCTTCTCGGTTTCCCTCAGCCACAGCTGGAGGGGTAGGGGGAGCATTAAGAAGATGCCGCCTGGCTCCGGAGCAGTAATGGGTCCAGGTGGAGCCCGCCCGGGGTGCACCTGAGTACCGCCGCGAGGGTCGCACGCTAGCACCTGTGCTTCCGGGGGGGGGGGGGGACGGAGCGTCCTCCAGCTGTGCCCCGAGGAAGGCCCGGCCCCCGGCAGCCCGAGAGCCCCAGCCCCGAAGCCCGGGGAGGAGGAGCGGTTAATCCGCACCCCGCCGCCGCCCCAGCCTGCGCGGAGGCCTCCGGCCTCTCCCGGGAGGGAAACGCGGGGAGAGCACGCTCGGCGCCGAGGGGGTTAAGCAGGCGGCCCGCGACCGAAGCGCGCTTTTAACCCCGGGGAGCCCGCGCGCGGGTCAGCGGAGCCAGGCCGCGGCGGCAGCACCGGGTCCCACGCGGCGGCCCCAGTGAGCGCGTGGGCTGGGCGGTGCGCGGCCGGCAGCCGACAGCTGGGGCGCGGCGCGGCCCGTGGGAGGCTCGGGCGGGCGGGGGGAGCGCGGGGGACGGCGGCGGCGGGCGCGCAGCGTCGCCAGGGCGAAGCCGGCGTGCGGCGCGGCGCGGCGCGGCGCGGCGGGCGCGGAACGAGCGAGCGAGCGGGCGGGCGGGCGAACGAGCGAGCGAGCGCCTCCGTCCCCGGATGTGAGCTCCGGCTGCCCGCGGTCCCGAGCCAGCGGCGGCGCGGGCGGCGACGGCGGGCACCCGGCACCGCGGCGGGCGGGCGGGCGGACGGGCGGGCGGCATGGGGGGCGCCCCGAGCGGCCCCGGCGGCCGGGCCGGCATCGCCGCCGCGTCCCTCCGCTAGAGGAGGGGACCAAGCCAATTCTCTTTTTGCAGGAAAAGAAAAAAAAAAAGATTAACATAAATTGCATGTATATATTATTAGCATAATATATACATCTGATTTTATTTTTTTAAAAAGTTTATTTTTCTCCATTTTTGAAAAAGAGGGAGCGTGGGTGGCAGGCGGTTTTTATAAATTACCCTTATTTTCTGTTATTTGTCCCTGTCCTTCCCCACCCCCTGCTGAAGCGAAAATAAGGGCAGGGACCGCGGCTCCCACCGAGCTAGAAACCCCTTACCCATCCCACCCCGGCCCTAACGCCCGGTACAGTGCCCTGCACACAGTAGGCGCTCAATAAATGTTCGTGGATGATGATGATGATGATGATGAAAAAAATGCAGCATCAACGGCAGCATCAAGCGGACCACGCGAACGGTGAGCAAGCCAGAGCTTGGGCAACCCGCTGCAAAATCGAATCCTTGCTGTGGTCCTCTCCTTCCGATCCCCTGCCTCTCACCCCTTCCCCCCACCCCCGATGCGCTGGGTGGGCTCGGGAGGGGGGGGGGTTGGAGGGGAGGCTCTTGGCTTGGTGTCGTCTACACGGAAAGGGGAGATGCGCGACAGCCACTCCGTTCTCCCCTTCAGGCCCTGAATGTCAGAGTTAATTCTGCATTTGTGGGGTGGGGGCGGGCATTCAGTATGTGGAGTACCGTGGGGCGGCGTGTCGAGGTGATTCGGGTTCAGTGTCCTCGGGCTCAACTTTCCTCCCTCGCCCCCGAGTGATGGAAGGGGGAGGGGTGTTGGTCTTGGGCCGAGCCCCTTGCCAGCCTCTCGGTGCCTGCCCCTCCTCCCCCGCCCCCTGGTTGACTAAGAAGAAGGTCCTTGGCGGCATCCGGAAACACTGAGGACCACAGCGTTTCCCCGTTTGCGCCAGTGGGCGAAGCGCACACCCCTCTCCATACCCCTTCCCTCGCGGGGGAGGCCGGGTCTCGCAATCTTGGGGGAAGAGGATGGAGTAAAAGCGTGTATTCCCGCTCCCCGAGCCTCCGGAGCACACGTCGGTAACCTAGCAATGCCCGGAGAGTCGCTGCCGCTGTGGGGCTCCCCTCCTCAGCCCTGGCCCCGGGCACCACGTGCAGTTTCCATGCTGGAGGGGGCTGGGTCAAGGGAGGCTGGTGTAGCTTCTGGCCAAGCCCCCTCTTTGGAAATCGTCCTCATCTCCCCCAACCCCAGGAGGCTTGAAGCCTTTCCGGGTGAGCGCTCCCCAAGGGAGAGGATCAGGACTCATCCCTGGCGCTGATTGTCTGCTGCCCCGCTTGGTTTTGCTCAGTTCCCAGGCTTGCTGGCCAGGAGACCTGGGATCGCTTTGACTCTTATCAATAAATTGGCGTTGTAAAAAACAAAAATAAAACCCTTTCTCTACCTCTCTGCTACCTCTGTCACTTTGAGTTGTGCTTCAGCTGGAGACCATGATCCAATGTGAGCAGGTGCCTGGGCACCTTGCCTGGGGATGGCCTGACTCAAATGAGGGGGGCCCTCACACCCTACAGACCCCTTTGGATTGCTGCCTTGTGAGCTCCTGGATGCCAGCCTGTACTGAGAGGATACTTGCTTAGGCCTTGAGGGCCCCTGGTGTAATGTAGCCTGTCGATTCTAGGTATAGAGGTGCAGGCTGACTGGATGCTGACTTTCCTGATACGGCTGCAATTTAAAATGCAAAAAAGCCCTAAAGATGTTTTCTGTTTTCTGAAGCTTGTGGAGGAAATGAGTCCCAAGCATCATGAATTTTCATATGCAGGAAGTGTCAGTGCATAATCTAGATATTTGTTATGGGGCTTTTGGTATTGCCTGGTACCAGCGGAGGATTTTTTTTTTCTATGCTGTAAAAAAAATGCATTTGTGGCTGTGGAAAGATGTTGGAGTAACACCCTGAAAATGATTAAGACTATTGAGTTATTGGCACTGCCTTTTTGTGTGTGATGATGGTGATTATTTTAGAAAAAAGCTGTTATAAATATCTATTAAGTCATAAGAGGTATGTGGGATTTTAAAGTCAGAAAGACATAAAATAAAGGTGGGAATGACCTCAGTTTGTCACAGTACTAAAAGACTCCTTTTGAAGACATGGATATGGAAGAGAACTAAGTAGGCTGGGTATGGTGCAGCAGTGATCCTGCAAGACTGCCACCTGGAGCAGAACTCTGTGGACTTTTCTTGCTACTTGACTATCTGACCAAAGCCTGCTGCTAAAAAGTAGGATATGAGGTTCACAATGGAAACACAGGAATGCTTTCCCTTGGTGGGAGACAACTTTTGCTTCTTTTTTCTTTTATATTCATTGGATTCCTGTTTTTTTTGTTGTTGTTGTTGTAAAATCATTCTTTTTTTCCTTCTCCCCAGAGGTAAACTATGCAAGAGGCACCAGACTCCCTCTTTCTGGTGAAGGACCAACTTCTCAACCGAATAGCTCCAAGCAAACTGTCCTGTCTTGGCAAGCTGCAATCGATGCTGCTAGACAGGCCAAGGCTGCCCAGACTATGAGTACCTCCGCACCCCCACCTGTAGGATCTCTCTCCCAAAGAAAACGTCAGCAATACGCCAAGAGCAAAAAACAGGGTAACTCGTCTAACAGCCGACCTGCCCGCGCCCTTTTCTGTTTATCACTGAATAACCCCATCCGAAGAGCCTGCATTAGTATAGTGGAATGGAAGTATCCTTTTTATCTGGGAAGTCTTTCTCACTTTCTATTTCAACATCTGTATTTTTTTTAAAAGGATTTGCTTTCTGAAATGACACAAAGCTGTAGCAGTCTGAAATGTGAGCTGTAGAAGATGTATAGAAGGAGTTTCATGGTGTATGAAGGTCATTAGATATTAGATGGCTAGTTTTGAATCTATTATTTTTTGGAGAGTGGTATGTATTGAACCTATTGACAATGAAATGTGCTGATATGAAAAGTGAAAAAGAGACTATTCTAAGATTGTACTGCATGGTAGTGATCGTTAGTGGAATCTTCTCATTCTAATGTTTTACAACTACAACTAAGGCTAAGGTTGCGTCTAGCTTTTATATTTGGTGATGCCAGTTGGTCATGTGAACATTTGCTGCATAGGGAGCAGTTTTTTTTTTTTTTGGCTGACCAATAGTATGGCTTCTTGGAATTTCCTTTTGATAAGTTCCAAAAAACCTCTTTGAAACATGAGCATAAGGAAGCCTATTCAGGGAAGGCTTGTGTGTGCCTCTTCTTCCTGAGCCCTAGTGAGTTACAGAGTGGCCCTCTCAGTGGAGGAATTTGCAGTTGCTGCCTTTATAAAAAATTCTGCCTATGTCCTTGGACTGAAGTTACATTTCTGGGTGTCTCTTTTGTATTTTTAAAACTGAACTAAATGCTCCAGGATGGTTGTCATGTCCTAAGACTTGGGAAAGTATCGTGCTCCTCGGCTTGCTTATCCCTTTCCCTAAATCTGGAGGCCAAACTCCAGTTCCTGTCATCCTTTGGAACAGGTTGATGGAGGCTGGCTTTTTGAGCAAATGCCTTTCTAATTAATCTGATTATTTCCTTGACCTGGGTAAAATAAAGCATTTTCTTCCCCTAGAAGGGTGTTTGGGGGCTGACAGGGTCCTCAGAGCTGTCATTACCCAGAGGCAAGAGTGTGAATATAGAGCTTTCTCTCTGTATGTATCCCAGAGGGTGGAGAGGACATAGCCAGCTAGAAAGTAGAACTCTAATAATGTAAGTACCCAATGAACTATTTGCACACCCTCTGTCTTAGCTAGTTATTTTCTCTGCTCATGGTCAGGAGTTAAAATCAGGCAACTGTCTAGAACAGTTTTCAGAGAGAGCAGCTGAATGCTAGGGTATGTTTCGTTATGCCTTTTCTTTTTTAGAACAGATGCTATGGTGTCTCTTGCATAGTTGGGAGTTTATGTGTACATTTTTCTCGTTAAGTTCTTCTCTCGCCTGAGGACAGCACTTGTGTCAGGAAAGAGATGGCTAAATTAGGGTGTAGCTTAGTGGTCTCACTGGAGTCATGGCAGCGACTGCATTTGCCAGAAAGATGTCTTCCTTCTGTGGTTGGCTTGATGTGATTCTGAGTAAGCAGAAACTTCTCAGTGGGGTTAGTAATTTTTATAGGTAGAGTGTGATAAGAGGCCTGATGTTTTTCTTTGTGCACAGTAATTTGTACATAGCATTTATCTGTAAAGAGTAAATTTCTGGATCATGCTGCTAGCTTCCTTTCCTCAGTTACAAGACACTAGTGCATAGGAATTGAGGTATGTTACTGTCCAGGCAGAAGCCTGCTTATAAGTGGGACAGTTTTGAGAATACATAGATATTAAATGATGCATGATCTATTTATTTTTTTCCAATGGCAGTGACATTCTATTTCAGGGAGCAAGTTACAGAAATCCTTTCCAAACAGCTATGTCAGGCCCAGTGAACACTGGGAGAAGAGAGTCTGTTTTGTTTTTATGGACAGGCATAGCAGTGTCTTAGACCCTGGGTAGTGAGAGATGTCCTCTTACCCAAAAGAACTGTTAAAGTTAGACCTGGTAGTTTCTTGTGGCAATGGGAAGGTGGCCTCTAGTGTCTGGAGACTGAAAGTAGAACAAAATAATAATAAAAATACACTTTACATTTACCCTTCCAGAGCAGTGTAGTATTTTCTCATATTTGCAGGCTTATCATGTACATCATCAGGGAAATTGCAAAGGAAGAATGATGATATGGGAAACAGGAGAGACTAAGTGTGTTTTTATGGAGAATTACTTTGGGGGAAATTAACTTAAATTTCAGTGAGGATCTGCTGAGAGGAGAAATGACAAGAAAATTTTGTTGTCTTCTTCAGGTAGACTATCTTATTGGATGCCTGGATCCTTGGATAAAAGATTTTGTAACACTAGGTTTGAAATAAGAGAATAAACCCATCAAAGTTAGGAAAGAAATAATGTTATTTCTGTCTTTATTCCAATAAGTTATCAAAGCAGTTCAAAGGGCCAGAGGCTTTAGGAAACCCAACGTATCTCCAGTGAGATTTGGGCTCTTTGTTTCTTGTATCAGTTTTGGAGTTCCCAGAAGGGTATCAAGACTGTTTATATCCTTGAATCTTAGTACCTCTGAGAGATTTAGTTAAACCATGGCCTTGCCTCTCTGGGTGAGTGTATAGGAGCATTATTGTAAAGTCAAGCCTAGGAACTGCTGATTAGGTTGGCATTCATAAAATCCTGTGTTTGGAAAGGCTGAAAACCAAAAGAAGAAAAGTAGTCATCTTGGCAGATGTCAACTTTTATCTTGCCAGTTTTGACAATGTCTCTTACTAACACCAGAATGTTTAAGCAAGTATCTGTTGAAGGCTGATCTCAAAGTGATTCCTCCAAACTGCCCTCGAGATTTGAAACTGTTAATGCCCACTTTGAAAGTATTCTGGTGCTGATTTCTTATGGCTTTTAAATTTAATTTGTTTATAAATTGAATACAGCAACAGCACATTATAAACTAAGCTCCAGTCTAGCTCTAATTTGAAACAGTGATAGCTATTGATTACTCCAGTAGAGAAAGCAAAAGAGGGGGCTGAAGCTTGGCTTGCTTATCAGTGTCTGAGGTATTGGATCATGCCACGAGAGAGTGAAAAAATGGAGAAAGTCCTAGTAGCTTTGTCTGCTCAAATCCAGATGGCAGATTTACACTGACCCTGCCAGGAATAGCCCTTGAGAAAACGGCTATAACACATGGAATCAAGGATCTGCAGAAGAGATTTACCTCAAGATTGCTACTTCTCTATAACAGCTGGGAATTTAGCAAGGCCCTAGTTAGTTTGTTAATTTAAGAAGAAGAAACCTGGTTCACCCACTGCCCTAACTGGCTGTTCAGCACTTTTAGGTTTTAATATACAATGTGCAGCAGAAGAATGAGTGCAATGTGATCATCTGATCCTTGCAACAGAAGAAAAGGACATGGAGAGGTCATTTGATAGAACAACATATTGTGAGATGACCAGCTATGATTACTTCTGCTGGAAATCTAGTAGACGGGATAGTCAGTTAAAACACAATTTGTGAATGTCATTGTCATTTGAAAAGTAATTCAGAGGTGGTATGATTGAGAGTGCAATAAGAGGAATGGTTTATGTTTTCCTAATATATGTACCTTAACGGAAATTTTTTCAGACCATTTGACATATTTATATTATTGGCTATTTTTGCCAATTGTGTGGCCTTAGCTATATACATCCCATTCCCTGAAGATGATTCTAATTCAACAAATCATAACTTGGTAAGTGTCTTAGAGTTTCTTGCCTGTCCTGATGTGTGGTTATTACTTGATTCTGTACTTAACCTGGCAGTTGGCTTTGAGGGTGGTTGAAGTTTATGTCATGCAGCTTTACAGCTGTGTTATTTATTTATTTTGACCCATGCTTACATTTACACTGAATACAAGTGTTTAAAATCATGGATCTTATACAAATAGATGTGGGACTTTTTAATGGAAGGAATTTATAGCAGGTTTTAAGATAACTTTTCTCTCTACATAAGCTTTTGCTGTTTACCACTCATTTCCTGATAATGTTAGCTTGCTTTTTAAAGAAAAATTTAGTGCTATTTGGGAGTGATAAGTACTTTGGTCAATTTTTTTCTGGTAAGTAAAGAATTACAGATTTTATACATGACGTATGAATTTTTAATTCAATACAGCATAACAAACTAATAACTGAACAAAATTTGGAGAATAAAAAGTATAGTATTAGAGTTTCTACACCAGGTCCTGTGAAGTGCCCCAAGATAAATTGAGTCTAAAGTTAAGTTTACCAGGATACTTCTGTATACTTACTGTCCTCCTAAAGATTTATAGTGAGAATTAGCCAAATAAAAGCTCTGGGAAGTTTTGCAGTTAAAAAACAGGCTTCATTTTGTCTAGCTCAGTTCTTAAAAGCAATTGGTTATGGGTTCTTTAAGCTGTTTTTTCTCCCCTGAAGACATTAATATCATGAAGCCAGTGTTCCATAGAACTTCTTTTGGGAAAAGTTGATGTAGGTTTTGTTGCTTTTTTTTTTTAAGGTCCTAAAGAGCACTGGACGGAGACTTGGAACTTGTCCCACTCATTTGTTAGCTAATTGTATTTGGGGGTCTTTCTCATACCCACATACCATTTCTGCATTGTCATTCATCTTCATGACAGTTGAGGGAGTAGGATAAGATCACCAGGGTTGAAAAAATATTTATTTTTCTTCTGACAGTTGTAGTCTTAGTTTGATGATTCAGAAGCCATTTCAGGATTTTTCTAGTGCTAAGACATCTTACTAGCAAGGGTCAGTATTATTGGAGGCATGCAGAATGGTAGATGAAATGCTGGCTAGCTGGAAACTCTTCTGTTTTCTTTTCTAGTTACTTTCATTTGGTTTTGGTTTCTCATGTTAAAGCTGTATTTGAGCAGGGCTAGATGTTCTTCCCTGAGCAAGTGTTATAAAGGTGAACACATTAGACTTTCCCTAAATATAGAGGGTTTTTCTGGTTTCTAAAGAGAGTGAAATTATGCTGTTGTGAATTTACCTTTCATTGTTTATGTCCAGGATTTCTCATTACATTTTAAAATATCGTGTATATTCCAGGAATAACATGATGTCTACTTGTATTTATATTTTGTTCGCATGATTTCTAGAGAATTTGCAGGAGTTTTTAGCTTTTGCTGCTGAAAATATGACTGTAAATGTGAGCTAAACACCTACAAACTGTTAATATATATTTATATGATGCTTACAATTGTGGACACTTAAAATGGCTTTCAATTTGGTTGTAGACATGTGATGCTAGATGATGGTTGAAAGGCAGAAGTAGTGAAAATTCTCCCATCAATGGAGATGGATAATTCTAGTCTAGGCCACAGATGGTGTTAGCCTTGTTACCAAATTTAACCATGAGGGTGGTGACCCAGTTTGTTGCTCTTTTGTAGATCAAGAGAACATGATTAAACAAACTTAGAAAATATATACCTTCCAGAAAGGCAGATTAATTGAGATCAATGGAATAATTAATGTAGCTGCATCTGTAAGCCAATTAATATTCGGGTTATTTCCCCCAGCATAATTCAGGGTACTGATATAAGTACTTTTGGACCATTTGGATCCTTCAGCTAAGAATGAGGAAGTAAATACAGGACACAGTGGATGAATCTCTCTTCTTTCCCCTTTAGCTTCTTCAAGCGGATCCTTTTTTGATAATTCTTAAACACTAGATTTATTCTGAAGTGAGATAAACAGTGTGTTAGTTTGGCAGGCTGTTCTAAAAGCTAGTGTGTGTGTTTTTTGACCTCTTTACTGAGTATGCTAGAACTCATGGCATTAAAGTTCCTATCTTGCTTTTACTTGGATGGTCATGTGCTAGATGAATTTGTGTACTGCCAGTTTCTCAGTATTTCCTTTTCTAGTGTGGGAAGGGAGGATCTTTGTGGATTTGCCCGTGACTCTGAGCAAGGTCCCATGCCATGTCTGTCCTCCCATCAGGGATTCCAGTTTTTTTTTTTTTTTTTTTTACATTTGACCCAGTTTGTATTAAAGTGATTGCTCTATTTTGGGGATTGGTTTAGAGGCAGCTGAACAAAGCTTATTTTTCTTCTGTAGTAAATACCTTTCATTTAATGTGACTGACAAAACAAAGGGCAGGCTGACACGAGTTACACAGTTGTGTGTATCGGGGAGTTGGTGGTTTTCTTTTCCTGATAGCTTGCTGGGAAATGTGTCTGACAAGCTCTTAGGGTGAAATTCAGCCCCAGCTCTTTGGCCAGCGTTCCTGGCTGTTTCAGGTCATTTGAAGTGAAATTAATACTTTTGTTGGATATGGAACGTGGCTTTCCCTAGGGGTTCAATGTGTGTTTGGTCTGGGTAGTGTGTAACTAAGCCATCTTTGGTAATTTGGTGACTACCTTAAGGGCAGCAAGTTTTCCTAGAGTTAGATTGTTTTAAAAATATAAAATCTAAGTTTCTGTGCAGCATTCACTTGCGGACTTGTGGGGACTAGTGGAGGCTGAAGCCATGGAAACAACTTGCTCAGTTCCCACAGCAGTGGCCCTCTTCACTCTGTCAGTCACTGTATTTCCTCAGTTCCTCTTGCAGAAGGAGGGTATCATTTATTTTTTCTGTTGACATCAAGGAGGGAGCTCTTCTGTGTCAGGTGCCAGATGATTATAATTTATGCTTCCCTGTGATGAAAAACACTTCATGTACTAATCCTCATTTTCTCCTAAGCAAACTGTACAGTGGGACAATTTTTAGTCTGGGCATCCTGCTCCTGGTATTCTCCTTCCCCAGCCTCCCTCCCTTTTTTGTGGCGCTGAACTGCCTCAAATTAGAAACATCCAAAATGAGGATTTCCATCTGCCAAGTCAGAGCTTCCTTGCTATCTGCTGATAACTGTATCCACCTCTAAGCCTGCAGGGACTGACCAGAGGACAGGGCCTCTTTGTGGAGGTCTGGCTCATATTAGGTGCTTAGTAAATGGTTATTAAACTAAACAAAAAGTTTTCTTTTTAACCAACTCTTTGACTTCTTTCCTGACTCCCTGCCCCTTTTGTAAAAATCTCGTTGTTGAGGCCCATATATTTGTATTTTTAGCTTGTTGACATTGGCCTCAATAACATTCCTCTCCATCTTCCATTTTCTCTCCATTTACACTAGTGTCAGATGATGCTGGTGTGATTTTGAAGGCTTCAGTAGCTACTCACTGCCCACCAAGGAGAGGCTAGACCCCACAGTGAGGTTGCAGCTTGGTTTGGTCTGACATTTTTTGCTTTATCTTTCATGTCTCTCCTTCATAGTTTTCCTTCTCTATTTGTCACCCAAAGTTCCTAAATACCCCTTCTTTTATTTGTCTGCCTCCTGGCTTTTCTTGTACTATTTTGTTCATGTGAATGTCTTTTTTATCCTAACTACCAGAAGTCATGGTCCTTATAGATGCTTGAGAATGATTCGATTTTTTTCTGTGATGGAATGAATGAATTTCATTTTTGGTCATACTGGGGTTTGAACTCAGGGCTTTACATTTGCTAGGAGGCCTTGTACCATGCCTCCAGCCATTTTTGTTCCCATTATTTTTCAAGTATGATATTATCCTTCCCCTACTCCCCCCTCCCCCACAAACCCCTGCCTGTGGTGATCCTCCTACTTACATTTCCTGAGTAGCTGGGATGACAAGTAAACACCACCATGCCTAGCACTTTTATTGACTGAGATGAAATCTTGCAAGCTTTTCTCCAGTGCTGCCCCTGAGCAGTGATTGTTTTGATCCCAGCCTCCTAAAGTAGCAAGTTTTAGAGGCATGAGCTCTCATACCAGCTCCAAATAAACAATTGTACTGGAACATCTTTCGCAGCACCTTGTGTATAAAATGCTCTCTACTTGTATATATTTAATCCATATATAAGTAGTTGCACTTCTTTATTTTATTAATCATCTATAGAATAAATTCAGAGAGAACCATTTCTAAATCCCTGCCCTCTCTGGCATAATCATACATGTTCGGCAAGTAAGTATTGATAACTGCCAAATGAACAAGCCTCTTGGAAGAAGCATATCCTCCTTTTTTTCCTCAAGTCACCATTTAGGATCTTCTTGGGTGGTAGGGCCCTTGTCGGCCCTTGTGGAAGTCCATGTCTGGAAGTCAGTGGAAGTTTTTCATGTTCTTTTTGAAAAGCTTAGTGTCAATGACTCTTGTCCACCTCTGCCTGAAGGAGCCCTTAAAGCTGGGCTCAGCCAAGAGATCTTGTACATTTTGGGCTCTGGTTCCAGGATTCACAGTAGAGAGACAGTGGGCATCTCTGGGAAGCTGTACTGAGCTATGCATTCTTGCAATGACAGGGAATGCTGTGAAAGTCTGGTGTGATTGCTTTCTCTCTACAATGGCGAAGAGGCTTGGGTACTATTATTAGCTGGGCTTAAATAGCAAGCTTATTGGATCTTTGTGGTTTTATAGTTTAGACTCTTGTCAATTTTCAGAGTGCAGTGAATTGTAATAGGGGACCTGAAAAACAAATTTGTAACCTGGATCATTGGGCTTTGCTGAAAAGGGAGGTACAAGTTCAGCCCTTCATCTTGTGAGAAAAGCCATCTTTTCTATTGAAGTGAGTTGCTTAAACGTTTCTGCTTTGGCCTAGTGGCTTGGTTTTTGTTGAATTATCCTGCTAAGACAGTATCAGCAAGTAAGGAGCAGAGGGTATGAGTAATTAAGATATCCTACTCTCTTCATACTAGTCAATCATGAGCAGATTGTGAACATGAGCTCAGC